CTTCAGCCTTGGGTAAAAGAATTTCTAGAATCAATTCTGCATTGAAATTGCCATGTTCAGTGAATGCCATTTTACTGACATGCCTGTAGGATCCTGTACAAAAGTTCAGACTCTGAAGATGGTAAAATTGTTACAGTGCACCTCTACTAATATAGATGCTATCTACAGCAAGATCACTCAGTGAATACACAATAGAAACCAAACAAGAACTTTTCTTCTTTGCTTTTGATTCAAACCACTCTTACAGAGAGGAGGCAGAATAAGACAGAATGTATGCCAAACTACAAAAGCCTTGCAGGTTATTGAAAGTACAACTTGAACATTGCCTCCTTTTGCTGATACAGTTAATTTCTAGATTATAAGGACCCCCTGTAATGCACGTAACAGCTTAGTATTTCTTCAAATTTTTCAAGCATCTCTCAAAGGCAACAAAACACAGCCCAACTGAGCCAGCATAATATTAACAGAGTAGGAAAAAACCCATGCATCACAAGGATCATAACTCACAATACTTCTGAAAAACAAAATAGTCAGAACTGAGGATGTGAGAATCGGTATGAAGTTCATAATAGCTATGTTACACCCTCAGAATATATGAAAATGTCCAAACACAGCATTATATATCATAAGCATCCTACCTTCTCGATTCTGATCAGCCCTGCCACTCACATTTATATAAAACAAGTACATGAATGCATGTGTGGGCTGTGGTACAGACATGCTTGTCACATGGCTGATGATCTCAACCACATGAAAACCCTTTCAATTTACCAAGCACACCAAACATGTTTCCCCTACATTTCTCCCCCTAGCTACAGATAACCAAATCAATGAATCTGATTGCACTAATACAGTTCACAATATGAATGGGTCTGCAAAAAAACTTGAAGTACTTCCAGTTGTTTGATAGAAATGATGAGGAATATGCAGAACAGAAGGTGGCACGTACACCTTTTTTGCCCCCAAAAAGGGATGCCCTAACATACTGCCTCAATTCCAAACTTCTCTTTATATCAAATTCCACTTTCTTAAGTTCCCCATACATTTCTGTGTATCTTTAGATAGATGACAGGCAGACACAGATGACAGACAAATATACATTAGAATGGTGACACAAGAGCAGTTTCATACCGAGCAAGGCAGACTTCCCATTTTAAGTAGTATTTGAGTTCTTTGACTATAGAAACAGTATAACAACAAAATCCTCCTTGATTTTCTAATCATTTTTTCTCATATATACTGCTGAGAATAAGATTTCAAAAATTGGATGATTTAGTTAGGCAGGACTTTGTAAGCACTTCATATGAAAGGAAAATTAGTTTTGAAAATCCACTATTCTCTAATGAAAGCTAGAATACAGAGACTTAACTTTATTAAGGTCAATAAACTCTTAGGTGGTTGAAGTCCTCACTGTCTTTTAAAATTTCATTTCTTAAAAAAAAAGCACTGAAAACAGCAGGCTTCATTCACATTCCAATAAAATTAAAGAAAAAAAAGGCATCTTAGATTCTTAGAGTAAGCTCTTCATTATAAATACTCTTCAGCCTGAAAAATTGCCATTATTGTCTGACTGCATTTTTAAGAGAGACTTCACTGAGAGGTCATGAAAGCTGCAAGATTGCACTCCCAGAGATTCAGATCCTAAAGAATTTTTACCACCTTTTTTCCCCTCTATGTAAAGCAGCATGAATGAACAGGAGAAGTCGCAGCCCTCCTTCCAGCTATGACTTCTTCAATAAACACTTTCTCATATTCCAAACCTCCATAAAGTAGGTACTTTACAGGCATAGGTTCATAAAAGTGGATCCACATTGCCCTAAGACAGCCAATTGATGAAAGCCAGGAAATGCCCTGATCTGCTTCATTCATATGCTCATCCCCTGACTGACACACACTCGTCCTTTCCAAGGTGCCCATAAGGAACACTGATACCAGAGTTTTCTGAACAGCCCTTTCATCTCAAAACCATTAACTCTTTTGACACTTCCACCTCCAAGCACCTGCAGGCAGTGGGCATGGGAGGTCTCTGCTGAGCAGGAATAATGCACCTCACTGCCTGGGGCCAGGGAAGAACTCATCACCTGCAACCAGGGAAGAACTCATCGCCTGCAAGTGGGAACAGAGATGTGACATGAACCCTCACTCAGCCACAGAAATAAACACAAGGTGCTTATTCAAGCCCACAGGGCGACACTGCAGAGTCATATGCTCCTCTCAAACAAGCACACATACACAGAAGTCACAGCCACTGCAGAATTTATGAATTCCCGAGTATGCAAGAATATTCTTCTCTCTCCACAGCAGTAGCTAAAGTAGTTTGGTAACAACATGCCATAAAGAGATAATTTATTGCCCAAATGCAAATCTTCAGCCCATCTGTCTGTGGGGCCTCTCCATAAATTCACATGAAGCCATCAAGGCTTAGGCTTACAGCACAACATAACCACGTTGAACAGCGGTTCAGACGCTCTTCAGATTCTCCGGTATTCTGGATACTGTCCAAGTAGTAATTAATAGAGTCAACACATTCCCAGTATTTGGTGTTGATTTGAAACTGCACAAAACTGTCTCCTCTGAGAGCAGTGAAATGCAGAACATATGAAATCACATTAGACACTTTCAGATGTGGAACTTACACAATATTTGCTGAGGATAATAAAATCTCATCAGCCCTTATTCATGCCAGATAATAACAAACTATTTTCTGTCAGAGCCAGGGACGTTTTTAAAAAAACATGCCATCTCCTCCAGTTATGAAAAGAAACAGCCACTTCACAAAAGCTTTATTTTATGGTAATATCAAAATAATGTAAATAACACACTGGAAGAACCACAAGGCAATACAGGCCTCATATAATCCAGTTACCTACCACCAAATTACTGAAGAGGGAGGAAAGCAGCAGCTTGTGGCTTGTGTGGTGCTTGCAAAACAGCTGTACTTACAGTCAACTGAGGGGCAAAACCCTGTGTTTATTTCTGGAATATCTAGACAGGAATGGTGTCAGCACCAATCTTCAACGGCCTCACCTCCAGTCTGCAAGAGCACAGCTGAAAAGGCTCTGTTACACCCCTACAAGATCCTGCCTGCTGAGCTTGCAAGAAGGGCAGTTCATACCTAGCAAATGGCCTTGCTTGCTCACTCCCACCATGCATGAAGCCACAGCTTCACCAGAGCACTCAGATAAAGCTCTGACTGTTGAAGAAGGCTTCAGTGTCCTCTCCTGAAGCATTTCCAACAGTGCTTCCAGTGCTACCCATCTGTGAGATGAAAGCCACACAACAGAGCAAGGCATGTACAGATATTAATGTGTTAGTGTTATTCCATTATCAAGTCAACCAGGAGAAGGCAATGCTGCAAGGGAAGATCTGTAGCAGTTGGTGCACCACACCAGTGACATAAACGTGAAGGGAAAAGGGAGGACTGTAAAAGAGAGAGGAATGCCTAAAGGGCATTCAAATATGATTGATTGTTTGCTGTTTAAGAGGGTACTCATTTTCAGCTCAAAACTGAACACCAGATTGCTGCATACCAAGCTTTCTCTTATTCAAAACCAAAGACAGCCCTTGTAGGGGGGCAGGTATTATCAGACCCTGAGGCTAAGCCTTTGCAGCCTAAGTGTTTTTTTGAGCTACTGTAATTCTCTTGACTTCTGAAAATCAAACTGTTAGTGCATGCTTTACTCAAACCTTTAAAAACATTAATGCCCAAGTGCTGTTTCACAGATATCCAAGTATCTCAGGGACAGCCCAGAAAAAGGATCTAAAATAAATTGTCCATAATCTTAAATTTCACATAGAAGACTTTTAGGGCTGAGAGAAATAGCAAATACCAATGTGTATTGATCTTGAAGAATCAGGTAGTGACAGAATCAGAATAAGCTGAGTTGGAAAGGACTCATGAGGATCACTGAGTCCAACTCCCAGCCCTGCACAGCACCATTCCCAAGTCCTTCCACCCTTCTACAGGAGAAGCTAACAACATTAGAAAATGCTCTTTGCAACTGGATATAAATAAATCACCTAGCTACTGGATATATAAATAAAACAAATGTTTAGATTTCGCCCACTAATTAAATACAGGAAGTACACAATTTTCAAATGGGGCTTTCCTGTTCCAATACCAGATACCAAAACTTCATTACCCAGCTGTAATTACTTCCTCTTCATTATGTAGCTCATAGGTATAGAGGGACAGGAAGGCTAAGTTTAACACATGTGGCACTTGGCAGGAAAAGTGATGGTGATTAGGCATGGATACATCACTGCAGCTCATAGTGAGTTTTGGTTAGCTTGATAAAGTTTTGCCTTACAGAGCTTTAACCAGTTCATGGAGAAGCACAGAACTTATGCCAGAGCAGCTTTAACCTGCCAGGAATTTTGCAATGCATTTGAACCATCAGAAGGAATTTGTATTTCACAGAAACACTGTAGTCAAGCAGGGAGATTTAAAGGGAAAATAAAGTGGAACCAAGATGTGAGGAGAAGCAAAGGGAATGAATCACCATTTCCCTGCACCAGGCAGTGGAGGCATGAAGGCAAACCAAATCCTAAATAATCAGGCTGGGCAGAAAATGACTCTTGAAGCAGGCAGAGCTTCAGAGCTTCCAGAACAAGGAGAGAGGCAATCTTCCAAATACATTTGGGCTATTTGGGATGTAGCTGTATGGTATCAGGTGACTTCCAAAGCAAAGAGGTCACTTCTGTAGCAAAGCGGTGGCACTAAGAAATCAGGAAAAGTGACATTCCAAGATACCTTGCTTTCTTGCAAGAAACCAGTTAGGTTGATTTCTCCTCATGTACCTTTATAGCCTTAGATAACCTCACAATAAGAACCCTGTCCTCCCTTCCCAACACAGAAAACAATAAACAGCACTCACTGCTGCCACAAAACCAAACAAAATTTAATATATATATATAAATTACACCACATAGTCATGGTACAAACCAGCTCCTGTCTTGAGAAAGGGAACAAGAAAAAATACAACAGTTCTGTTACTTACATTCTTGTATTGCTGGTCTTGTTGATAATTACAGATTTTCCAGTCTGATCCACATTGTGATCCATTCCAAAATAAGCTGCCACTCTGTGCACTAGCATCCTCTGATAGGACGACATCTGAGGGAACTTTTTATAGTGATTACTATAAACAAAAGAAATGAATAGCATTGATAATTAAATTTCCCTCTTATGCCATAAATAAATGAAAACAGCAATACATTTGACTATTCAGTGGACAGAAATCTCACTGAAAACTTCTCTGTTATGCATTTACATATAAATGTTTGCTACAGAAAGGCTGAAAGGAAAAAAAAAGGAATTAATTTTAGAATTTCTAATAAGTACATTTCCATGTGCAACCCTGGGACAAACAAAGCTCACGCTTCACGGTACCTAGTCAGCGTTCTGAGTGCTGGGAGGAACTCATCCCCCAATCCCCCACACACACTCACGCTCCCTGCACAACCAATCCTACAGATTTGCTGAGACACTGGCAACAGCTTTCTGCCTTTCTCCCAAAGGTCAGATGCAGGGCAATTCTGGAAAGATCTAGTTTGGTAAAGACTCCTTTTACCCTCTATTACTGACAAAATGGTTATTTCCTGTCAGCATAATTTTTTTCTTCTGCTGCTAATCTGACTCTCTAATCTTAAAGCTGCAGGAATATTTTATTATAAAGACCACATAGGAGCAAGAATCCCTCCACCTAAGCTCAGTTTTATTTTCCAATGCATTAGAATAACACAGCACAAAGGAAAAGCCATGAGATAACATATTTGATTATCCTCCACACTCAACGCTTTAATTACATTTTTGGGTCTAAATGAGCAGAGCCAGTGCAATTACAACACAATGAAAAGGAAAAGGTTTTCATTCACATCTACTTTATTTTAAGCAGTTCCACCACGTGGCAGGAAACAGAAGCCTGCTCTTGCAGCGTGCCAGTAACAGCCCTCAGGAGCACTGTGGTCCATATGAGCGTGTCCCTCGCACAACCCACGCTGCAGCACACGCACGTGACTTAATAAACCAAGTGTGGAACTCAACTTACTTGTTGTCACTAATAAAATCAATAATTTCCTGTTCCATTTTCAAGAGGATCATTCTGTCCCTGTCAAAAAGAAATGCAAGGATTTGCACCATCAAACTATGGGTAGACATTTCAGAGGAAAATATTCATATAACAGTGTTAGCAAGGCTATTTTGCAAGTGTTGTCAGTCATCTTGATTAAAAATCAAACATGCTTTTTTTTTTACCCTGGATCATCTGCAAAAGACTAAAGCCTGCTTTTCTGCACCTTCACTGACATACAGATTTCACTCATCTATGAGCTCAGCTATGGTTTGAGAGCACTTTCAGCCACAACAGGCTGCAATCAATGCATGGACAGAAAGACTCTCACTGCTATGGATAGCTTTGGTCTTTTTTCAACCTTTTTTGATGGAAAATGAGATTTCCACCTAAGCCAGATCTTTCACAAGAAGAGCTGCTAACAACAGAAATTTTAAACATTTTTCCTGAGACATACTAGAATTCCAGAAGGCATTGATTTGCTGCAAAAAAGCTGGACACATCCAATCTAGTTAGAGAGCACAATGAAGAACACCACCTTTTAGCTATGGTTCCCAGGAGGCAATGCCACAGTATTTCTCAGGCAAAATGCTGTGGTTTTCACTGGAAGGTTTCAGATGTTCCTTTTCCCTCCCCTCCCTTGTCAAAAATGTTCAAAAGTTTCCCCAGCATATTTCCACACATTTCTATGCTGGAGAGAGTTCCATCATTCCTTAGTTCTTTTGGACTTTCTCATTTTGCACAGATAAAGCAACTGAAGGGCCTTCCATCATCTGTACAAAGGGTTATGCAAGCTGTTTAGGTACCCATTTATTCCCAGATATCCTGGGAATAATTGCAGAATTACATGGCACCTATTTAACACATCCAGCTGAAATGAACATTGAAAATCACAATGTATAACAATGTTACAAATCTTTCCTTGGATGTTTAGAGGCAAATTTAACAATGAGATGGGCTTGTAGCTCCAAATGAAAACTATGGGAATACTGAGAGCAGAATTTGGCACCGAGCACAGGATTTTAATTGTGTGCAGCATTGCTAGAAGAAAGCTACTCTACATTCATATACAAATCTCCAACCGCAATAGTTATAATGTATTATTGCAATCACCACGTAGAGCTGTATAGAAGAAGGCAAGGACAAAGACCAGATGTTACTGAAAGTGCAATTAAGCAATAGGTGACTGGATGGGGGAGTAGAAGTTGATGACTTTTTATACCATTTTTCTCAGTTAACAGCCTACCTCCTTTCCATTTTCCCTCATAACCATCTCCAGAACAAATAAAACACAGTGTACAGCTATGAGAAGTCAAAGACTGCCAGCTACAATTTCAGGAATGTCAGCTCTAATGCATTAAATACCTACCTGGGGTTATTCTTTAATGTGTTAATGAGAAACTCATGCAAATCTATGCCTGTTGAGTCTGTATACTCTTGACTGCAATCTGCAAAACAAAAACAAACAGCCTCCACTCATTTATTTCATTTCAACAGTTCCGATTAACTATGCTATAAATCAAAATCCATTTTCCAGCAACAATCTGAAAGAATGTGCTCTGAAAGAAAAGTCATTTGTAGTTCAGCCAAGAAAGATATACATTCTGAAACATCAGGTGGATTTTCATTGTTTCTCTGTACAACTCCAAAGAGAACACAGCATCGAAACTAAATATTGAGAGAAATTGCTGGTCATTTAATAACACAGAAAACCTTCAATGCCATTCAAGACCCTGCCAAGTTCTTCCTTTAAACAACTAAAAAAGCATTTTAAAATGAGGAAAGAAAAGTTTTATTCATCAATGTCTCTTTGCGTCACTTAATAAATGCTGTACACTCAGCAAATGAGGAGTCATGCCAGTGGGAACTCTATTTGCATTAAAAGCCTGAAATCCAATGACACCTGGGAGTAGGCAGGTAATAGGGATGCGTGACAGTAGCCAGAATTAATTCTTCAGCATTATCTCCTGACTCAAATGTACACACACATCCTCAAGTTGGCGTGAACTGTGAGAACTCCATTGAAGCCAAATGACAATTCACACCAGCTGCAGATCCACACCCAGGTAGGCAATGATTATTTTTGTGAGATTACAATGCAACTTTATACCATGGATTAATAAAAGGATTTTAAAAAGCAATGCCAAATTTAGCTGAAGCATCTTTCCTGAAGAAGTCTTGGTAGGTGATAATGGAAGATGGCAATGCAGGTTAAATGTCATGGATGAATTTCCTTACACCATTTAAAAGAAATCCTCCATGAAAGAGAAACAATAATGAAGAGGATTACCCTCTACTGCCTACACTACACAAGTTACATGCCAATATATTATCATTATTCTAGATAAAAGAGTATTAATGTCTTATGTACTATATACACTTATTATGCAATCACAGATATATTTATGTACTTATGTGTTCATATCAAAACAGTTAAGCATTCAAAAGATCGATTTTACATTAGAAAATAAATAAAATCTAACCTGATATTAGTATGAAAAACATTCTTACACATACACGATTTAGGTTCTGAATTTTCTCAGTGTGTGAAAACACTTTTACTGTGTACATATACACAAATAAAGAAATACATCCTTGCAAAAATGTACAATCTTTTCTGCAATGGTAACTAGAATAATTCAAATATTTTTAAGTTCACCTTTTGATAACATTCTGATCTTGCTTTTTTCACTGTTTTTATCTTTATTTTTATCCTTCTCTTTTTCTTTCTCGGAGTCATCTTTACTAGATTTATCTTCTTCTTGCAAGTTAGGAAAACTTGAAAGCTGCAGTTGGATTGATTCCTGTTGGGTAAAAAAGATAGATAAATTATGGGCAAGATTCAGTATGCTTCCCATGGCTTCCAACCTGCAGATATCAGCATTAAACTATGTGTAGCTAGAAAAGTTGAAGCCAGATACATTTCTTTCCTATTTGAAACATGGCACTTTTTAGTCAGGTGAATGATGATATCTTAGAGGCCAAATTCGAGTGGTACATAGGCACTACTTCTCTAATATTTTGAGTATTATAAAACTTAGGCTACCTCTATTAAGGCGGACTATATTACTCTACACTTCAGTAGCTCTCCCTAACAATTTTTCAGAATAATGAAATACATTTCATATAGCCTTTCTTAATTATATAATTTAATACTACATATGTTCTGTGATGATCAATGGATAGATATTAAAACTTTTCTTCATTTCACTAGAAAGTCTGCAGGTTGATATGAATTGTTTTGCACACATAAGTGCAGTATCAGGTAGATGGAGTTTTTTGGCTCTAATAGTAAAAGAGTACTACCAAATTCCATACTCTATTGTATACAAGAGGGCTTGCTAACTTATCAGGTAATTCATATTTAAATACATATGCAGATGTGTCTTTTGCAAAAGGGGGGAATGTGACCTGTATTTTTCAAGGACATTTTAGTAAGTGGACTTCTCTAAAGCATCACAAGTTCAGTATTTCAGAGACTATGAGTCCCTTTGAAACATGTTTCAGCTTTAAAAAGTTATTTTTTAAGCTGTTTGAGAATTCAAGCTGGTTTGCATTTTCTAATTTCTTTAAAGAACTTGCTTTCCCTGCTCACATTACTTTATACTGGTTTTGCTTTAACAAAACCCAAATTGTTTTCTTTTTAAGTTACCATGGCATAATTTATGTATTTCAAGAAATCCTATTCTGGTTGGACAAAATTGAAGGAAGCATACTTCTTTGTTTTATTCTTTTAAAGAAGAAAAAAACACCCCAGAAAACTATATGCTTAAGTAGCGTAAAAAAGCAAATTTGAAGAAAGCTGTCATAAAATTCCCTGGTAAAGCAGTTTTCTTTAATAGAAGAGAATCATGCATGCTTGATAATTTTTTTGACATCATGTCAATGAAAACCTAATTCACCAATAGTTGAGATTTTCACATTTGCTTGAATGCTAGTGAATTCCTTTCCTTCACTATTTTTCTAAGAATACTAGCATACCAAAAGATCAATAGAAAACTTTAAAGTAAGGGGTGTGCTTCTAAGGAACCATTATGAATTCAAAAGATGTTTCCAGTAATTATTACGAATTTTAGATTTCTGAATTCATTAAAGAACTACAAATCAGCCATCACAAGACATGTAAGACAAGATCCTAACAAAACAAGGCATGAGCATAAACATGCCACAGTAAGACAAATTGGTAACTTCTCAGCTTAATCATTATTGACTTTTTGTGAAATTTCAATGTGGCACAAAAGACTTGAGATGAAAAGCATTGTAAAAGAGCAACAAAGACCTGGACCCAAAATTTAACCTCACCTACCACCCTTCATCCCTACTTCTGTTAGTTATGGCTGACAGTCTTACACAAAATCTGAGCCTACAGAGGCAAAGAGTGGGAATTCCTGGTCATTTGAGATAAGGATATATTGAGAAATGTTTTCTGAATTGCTCAGTTGTGCTCAGAGAACTAATGCTGTGTCTGCTTTCTTTCACTTCAAATGGCAGTCTGTGTTCTCCTTCAAACAAACTTTGGATCAGCTATTTCCAAATAACCCCAAAGGATAACTTGATTCCCTGCCCTGCCCAGAGCAGAGTGACTGTGGTGCTAGCTTTTCAACAGGAGAAAAATGTAACTGGCCACGTCGTTCCCATGATATTAATCTTAAACTTCACAGTGGTTCTTAAAAATGCACTGATGAAAATGACAGACTTTACAGAAAAGCACATATATGAACATACAATAAATACTCTTTTACATGTAACGTAATACTGATGTATCTGCACTAGAAAAAACACACAAAAGGGCTGTAGAGTCGTGAAAGCAAGCTACTGTGTATTTTCTTAGATTTTTATTGATTTTTCTCAATAATAAAATACAATGTTAATAAATACATTGATACAAGTATAGTGAACAACAAAATAGATTTTCAAATTGCAATAATAATACACTTCTTGGTCTATAGTATAACATTAAAGGCAACATTTCTTTTAAGTAAGGACATAGTGAACCATTGGATAAGCACTCAAGATCAAGTAATACAGGTAAACAAGTTTTTTCCTTATACAGGAAAATGAAGGCAAGTATTCAAATATAAGTACAAACATCAAGTCTGCAGTACAATCCATACTCAGTAGTTCTGGCAAGGTACCGTACATTCTCTGATAATTAATTCCCTGTGGTTTATAACCATTAAGATAAAATAAAAATTAATTTAAAAAAAAATCCAAACCAAAAATAAGCTACTTCTCCTCTTAAAGTAAAAGCAAAACAATTTGGTTGGCACAAAACTTCCTGTATCCTTCAGCCAGCCCACGGAGGAGCCTGCAGGTCCAGCTTTCCATGGCAAAGTTGAGCCACATTCATTAGTAAAAGGTCAGCAAGAGCAAAAGGGTAATTCCTATCAAATTAATGACACCAAGCCAACTGCTTCCTTAGAAAACATGATGGGGTCAAGGGAGACATTTCATCTCTCATAAATATTTTAGGATGGTCAAAGAAATCTTTGCTGAGGCTGGTGAGTCAGGTAAGACCAAAGGCTGTGTGAAACAGGAACCCCTCCTCTGCCTGGTGTAAGGATAGGGATTTTGCCTCAACACCTGCCAGTCTCTCTGTAGTTTAGTACAGGTCCTGTGCAGTACATTGTAAACTACCAGCAATGCTTAATACAATCTCTTTATACTGTTCTCCTTCTCGTTCTCCATTAAACAATAGAAAATACAAACAAAATTGGAACAAAAGCCACGCATTTTGAGTAATGCAAGTCAAGCAAAAAGCGTCTACCTACAACAGAACAACTGATAAAATAACCTGCCCATCTACTGCATAAGCATCATTGTAGAGCAGAAGAACATGCAAATGTCCTGCTGCTAAACAACTTGGTTTTTGGTCTTTCAATAAAATTAAAAAAATAGAAAAACCTCTCCTTACTCATGAGCTAAGAGGAGAGACAGATTTGTTTCATTTCAAGTCAATAGAGGAAACAGTGAGAAAGTACACTTAAATGTCATTTTTATTTTTGTGCTAAGCTCACAAGAAGCCACTTACTCAAGCTCTCTTGATGGCTGATTTCAGTTGCACATAAACATCTCATAAATTATAGGCAGTGTTCATCATATTTTGGGTTTTAGTTAGCTGGGTTTTTTTAAGCCTTGCTCTTACTAGGCAAGCAAAGAGGAATAATTGAGGCTTAACTTTTGCTTTTTGGAGTACTTTTTGGAGTTGGTATGCAAAGATTGCCACCAGTGTTATTGTCTGAGGTGAGGAGTGCAGAGGACAGAACTCTACCAGCTGCTGGGAATACAACATCACCAGTACAGATAAACTCAAATACACGCTTTTTGATATAGTTTAATTTACACCAAGAGTTTAAAAAACGAATGCCACTCAGTAGGAGGCATCCTTGGCTCTACCAAGGCATTTTAGAGAACCAAGGATCTTTGAATTTTATGTGAAGGGGGACAATAATATGAACTGAAGTCTTAGAGGAACCACAAATCAGAGCATATTCGTAACTGTATTTGGTGCAGCCTCGAAAGAGATAGCCTTAGAGAAAAGAACATATTAATATTCTTTTTGACTGTTACTATTTATTTAAATTTTAAAATCTGAATTCTTTTGAATTCTTTTCCATTTGCTGAAATTTTCAGGGGGTCTGGAAAAAAAAGCAAACAACACCCTGTGATATAGTATAAAACTAGTATTTCAAATTAAAGTTCACGCTAAACCAGTAAGAACCATAAAAACAGGTTCAATTGTCGGATGTAATTTTTTCCCCCAAGAAAGACATTGTTAAATGCCCGATTAAGTAACACAATCATGCAACTGGAGATGGAGGTCAACCATGCAGCTAACAGCAATGATTGCAAGTGTACCTGGTTGTCATGAAGATTTTCTGCTCCCGGGCGAGGGGTTGACTCTTCACACACAGCAAGACTCCGCACGAGTTTTCCCTTAGCTCCTGACTGAATAAGAGAGAAAGAGAGAACAAAACAGAAAACACTACTACTGACCCCAAGTCACACCAGCTGCCCACATCAGCTGTTCCCAAATATCCCAGATAACTATTACCCACCCAGTCTAAAAAAATGCATATGCCTGGATATAACATGGATGAAACAGGATTCTAAGCAGCAGGACATTTGCCACACAGGGAAGGTGGTGGGTTTCTTTTTGCTTTTATCATTTCAGCTACAGTTCACTCACTACCACCAAAAATTGTAACAGCAAAGAACATATTCCAATACTGAAAGTAATTTAACATAAACTCAAGGGTTCCTTCTGTCATTTGGTTTGGGTTTTGGTTTTTTTTGTTTGTTCTGGGAGTCCCTCCCCTTCTTCTAGTAGGATATATCCAAGAAAAATGGACAGTAAAATATGTATGTATTACAGATCTGCACTTGAAAAATTAAAAGAAATTTTTTAGGGTTTTATTTGTTTCTAGAAGCTCCTTTTCACACCTGCCCCCACCCATTCCCTCATTAGGGAGCTAGTCAATCTCTGTTTCTTTATGTCAAGATTAATCTATTAAAATAAAATTCCAACAGATACATTAATTACTAAAGCAAAAGGAGTGAACATTTTCCTTTTCCAGTGGTGCATAGAAGCACACATGCTGTCTAACACAAGGACACAGCAAACCCAGCAGCATAAAATTATGATGGATAAAGGCAAGTCTGACACGTTATATCTGGAGGCAGTTCTTTGCCTTTGTGTAAAAGGATACAGGGTAGGGGGCAAGAAAAAGCCTGCAACACTAACAAAAAACTCAACCAGACAAGTGACAAAAGAAAGCAATTTTGATCTTAGAAAGACATTTAACTGAAATTCTTCATTCTTCTGTGGCATGCAACTCCAAACAGAGATGGACCCTTACCTTGGATCTCTTTTTCTGATTTGCTCCTCGTTTCTGGGTATAGCAAAAAAAGAGAAGGAGTTATCACTTCAGTGGAGAGTGGGCATGATGAAAGCATTACCAATAAACAGACTAAATCACTTCTATCTGATGTTTTAAAACAGTTGCTGACTGCAAAAGCAACTTCCCCAAACCCAGTTTGGAAAGCAGGGAAAACCAAGAATCATCTCTGTTCATTTTCATTCATTTTACAAACAGGTATAAACAAGAAAAAACACTACACAGTGTTCTGTAATTTTGCATATAATAAAAATGTAAGAAAAGGTATACTTAAGTAAATGCTCCCCCTCTCCAAATTCCTCTTAAATTGTGGTCTCCCCCTTTATTTTTTTATTCGATTGAGCAAAAAGGATTAAAAACCCCTCATCCGATAAAGTCTTCTTATCAAATTACCTTCTTAGGCTTTGCATAACAACTTTTTGTTGGCAGTAACACCTACAAACCAAACCACACATTAAGTAATTATTCATTAGTATTACCTGTAAATTCATGAGATCAAGGTAGTTTTCTAAATCCCCAAAGAGGGAAAACAGTCAAATGTCTCATCAAGCTTTAAAACAGATGTCTAGAAATTAACTTCTCAGAAAAAGTAATAACATGGACAGCAGCCTAAAGAGCTTGAAAGGTATAACAAATAACAGCATTTATTTTATAGTGAAATAAAAGAACACAAAATAAATAAATAAATGAAAAATTTAAAAAGGAAGAAATAGAAACAGTCTCAAAATCATAAGAAAAATAGGGGAAGTGTAGGCAATGAAAGAATTCACAGAAATGGAAAAGCAATGGTAACACATTGATATTTAACACGCCCATTCACTATTCCTGTCTTACCTGCAGCTCTGTCTTGGAATCACTGAGCTTCTCCTCCTCTATTTCTGAGCTTTCAGATTTATTAAGAACACAGTTGTCCGGGTTGGCTTCAGAGATGGCAGTCTCCTGCTCTTTTGCAGCTTCTTCTGCTGTCTCTTGGTTCAATTTACCTTGCTCAGACATTCTTCCAGACAGAAATTAAAATAACAAGATTTGGTGACCTGAAAGGTCAAGATACCACAACACAAACACACACACACAAAAAATTGGGGGTGAAATTTATTTTTTTCTTTTAATTCCTAATTTCAGTTCCTTTGATAAACAAACCAAAATGTGCAGCTCAGAAGTGGAAAACTATGTATGTCCCAGCTGAAGAGATGCACTGAATCAACAACACTGGTTAACAGAATTGTGTCACGTTAAGCAAGCAGACATGAACAGTCTTTGTGGAGAGGAAATTTAAGGTAATGTTCTGTGACTCCCCAGCCCAGCCCCAGGACTGCCAAGGTTCAGGCAGGGACAGCGAAGGATTCTCTAACACAATGCTCAATGGTACCAGGACAAAGGATCCATTCTAGGTCTCTGGCATCTCGATGCTCCCCTCTTATAATTTTTTTTTTAATTTTCTTTTAATAAAAATAATAGCCAAGCAAACAGAAATAAAAACCAAGCATGAGCAACAACACTTTTTAGTATTCAGCCAGGGGTTTTCTGCATAGCAGAAGTCATGGAGCTCACTACCACTATAAATATATATTTCTCTTTTTTTTTTTTAAGAGGTAAGAATTCAAGATAAGTATGAACTCTAAATTTGGCAATGAAGCTCTCAGGGTCAACACTTTCAGGGATCAAACCAACAGCTCCATTATTAAAACCTTAAGCCTCTTCCCAAAACTTATGTCACTCTTCAGTACTAGGAAAATTGTACAGAAAGCCCTTGGCAGGTACTTCTAATGAAGAAATCTCAACTGAACTGCATTTACTCTTAGCTTACAATGGGGTTGTTGTACAGAAGCTTTAAAGGCTTTTCAGAGTTAAAGCCTATTATTTTCTCTCTCTTTCTCTGCCCCCAGCTCTCTCCTGAACACTCCCCCACTGATCAATTGTCAAAGAAGACTCATGAATAATTTAACTTTTCTTTCCCCATCCATTTCTCTTAGGAAGAATCTTTAAGAAAAACAACTGTATTTGAAATGTGAAGTTATTTCAGGAAGGGTCTTTTGCAACATATTGCCACTTCTCAACAGTGAGACGGCAGCTATGAAGCAAAATTTTCTTTTTAAAGTTTGAAATTAAACATTCAACAGAACCAGTATAACTTACCTTTATTATATTTAAGCCATGTTTTAAGTGAAAAAATCTAAAGCATACTGAGTTATAAGCACTTACTTCTCTCCCTTTTTGCTTTTGTTTTCACATTGTAAGCAAACAATTTTCTGTATAATCTTCCAGTTTGAGAAGAACTGTGAACTTCACAAGAAATCAAGCTATAAGGTTCATAAACAAATTGAATGGAATATGAAACTAACCTGAAGCTTGACTTGCCTTACTGTGAGCTAATTTGTGATTTTCCTTTCTCCCACCACTCTACCCAAGAAGGCCAATAACTTTGGCTATTCTGCAGTTACAACTGAAACTTGAACTGCTTTGATGAAAATTCAAAACATGAGTGGTGAGACCTTTAACTGGTCTGTTAAATAACTCTTAATTTGATAAGGATTCTCATCAAGAAATGCACATGCATGCACAAGCTCCTCATGGGCAGATTAACCTGCAGCTCATCCACATGCTTTACACGGTGCTCACAAAAACAATTACACTGGGATCAGCTGCACCAAAGAAGCCGTTTACCTGAAAAACTGCTATAATTCCAACTGCCTTTCTAGAGTCTTCTGTTGGTCTTTGCTGGTTAAGTCCACACAAATGATCAACGGCAACGTGAGTCCCATGTCCCCATTAGCAGTTCAGAGAGCCAATCTCCATGCTGGTCCTTCGGAGAGCTTGACGCACCATAGTCAACCTGGAAAAGACGAGAAATAAATAACACCGGCAGTGACCACGGCACAAGGGAGGGGTGCAGTGGACAGGACCAGATTTCTAACACTAATGACCGGTTTCCAGCAAGTCACTTTCACAGCTTGATCCAGCTCCACCTGTCTCAAAACTGCCTGCTTCTTCTCTAATGAAGGCTAGAGCCGGCTGTTCAAGTCATAACAGCTCCTACGCAAGAAGCTAAAATTAACAATTGCATTATGCACTGAAGATTACTCATTTCAATTCTAACCTTTTTTAGCGAATTCCAGCACTTTTCATTAAAAAAAAAGCATATATACATATTTATATATAAGCTCATCTGTTTGCTTCAACAGAAATCAATGAGGGAATGAGGAGAAAAGATTTGCCTGCTTTTTAACTATGGCTTCTGCTTCAATTAAAACTTCAGCAGTCAAACACTATTGAAAAAAATAGCTAGGTGGGTGCTTCTAGAAAGTGACCTGCTTTACCACGGTAGTGAATTGAGATGTTCATTTAATAAGCTGAATAAAATTTGAAATTATCCAGAATGGGAGGAGGAAGAGGAGGAGAAGGAAGAAATCCTATTCCCTCAACAACAACCGCCAAAAAAAATTCTCCTGAAGCATTTTGTGAGGACGAAAAATGAGATTTCCAGGTTACGGTTTGAGAAATAAACCTAAAGAAAGAGTTGCCTCAGCAATGCAACTTTTACTGTTCATCAGGATTGTGTTTTACAGCTGAATAGGTGATTTAATAGAAAAACGACCATTTTAGGATGAGTCGGACTGATTTGCAGGCCATGGCCATGTGCTGAACTGTCTTGATACAACAGGCAGCTCTTCTCAAGACTTGCATGTGAGTCATGGTTGAAACAGTCAGTGCAGACACACAAAACCAGCAAATAGAAAGCACATATCATTCTGCTGGGGAGAGAGGAGGAAGCCAATCAAGAATAACGGGAGATGATTTTCTGTTTTTTTTTATTTTATCAGACTCCTAGTTTCTGCAGCACATTTTACATTGTGCAATTGCCACACAGCACGTGTCAGCACACTGCAACTTGCCATGTGAAAAGAGCTGAATTTGCTGCACCAGAAGTGGAGTTTAGCCTTTCACAATATTCCAGTCTTGCTCTCTCTGGGAGCTCTGGCACACAGAGGAGACCAGCATGCAGTTCCGCAAACTATCACTGCCATCCTGCAAATTTATAAACACAACTATTTCTTTTCCTCAAACCATTTCATAATTTGTAGAGAGTAACAGAAAATAAGTATTCCCACTAGGTTTTTGGCATTTCTTGCAGGATATTTTTGGAAATTCTAGCTCATTAGAAACGTAGGCTCACAATGGGAGTGGAAGAACACCATGGAAAACTATGCCCGAGTACTCAAGCACATGTAAAAGTATCCCATGGAGCCAATACTCAGCAAAGAGTGAATAAACCACTGACTCAAAATCCTTTCCTCACACCCATCTTCCAAAGACTGTTTCCCCCACACTTCCAAAAGAGAGATGGGGGAGGGGTTAGGAGAGGGAATCAACCAAAATCAATCACAAACCAAAAATCCCAAGGAAGTACAGTGCATGAAGGTTTCACCCAGAAAACAGCCATCCAGGAAATAGACTGCTGTAATCAAAACCCTCCAAAACCAACAGAGACACAGATATCTGTACCAAAATCAGAACACACACAAAATTTATTTCAGAACTCTCCAGTGTGACCATTTGTTGGGAATTAACTATTCATAAGGCAGACAAACAGAGAAAACAAAAAATGAGACAACAAACCAATCAACCAAAGGGTATCCTATGCAGCAAGTGAAGAGATCTGCCAAGACTTGGTCTTGTGCACAGATGCTCAACATCATCTTATCATGCTTTACCCAAGGCAAATTTCATTATAAAATGTGTTCCCCATATTGCTACACTTAAGATTTCTGATGACAACATCATTTTTCACTGGCAATGTACAAGAAGACTGCAGAATCTTAAATTAAAACAAAAAAACCTGTACATAAATTTTCCCAAGAAAACACAAGCAAGTGGAAAATGATCTTACAATGTACAGCTACCTTCCTCAAACACAGAACAACAATGTCTGTTAGGATGATTTTTTAAAGAAATCCTTCATAATTATCTTCTGGGAAACAAAAAGAAGGCAAGAAGAACTGAGACATATAGCAACCAATTCCAGCTCTTCACCTTCCCTTAATATAGATTTCCTCCTCCTTTATTAAGTAATTTAGAAGTGATGACTAATCATTTACATACTACAATACGTAAAATACACTTCTGGTTGTTTGGGTGGGTTTTCAGAGGGACTCAGGTTTCCATAAAATATTTCAAGAAAGTATAAATAGCAAAAAGGATTCAGTCAGAAAATAGCCGTTAAAACGGAGACATTTTTGTTGGAAGTGTGTCTCTGTTTCTCATATGTTTCCAGGATATCTCGTTATTCAGTGATGAATGTACTTTTTACTATTGTCAGTGCTGCAATGACAGCACTGCTATGGAAAAACACACTGGATTATTCTCTTTCTTGCGCATCAACAGAAATGTCAGGGATGATTTTACTGTCAAAACCTCCAGTACCGAAGTGACGCAAACGGCTGAACAAATGCACTTCTGTTTTTGATCCTCAGGTAGAAACCACAAAGCTTGTTGCTAGGCAAGAACCACCTTCTTGATATGCAAGGGAGAAAAATCTCATCGGGTGTTGGGATCTCGGCAGTCTACAGGAGCTTGCGGCAAAATTTCAGCCCCTAATTCCTTAAAGCAACTTGAGTATTGCACATAGCAATAGGACAGAAAATACAGGGACCCACCAAGCCACTTGTAGGTCCACTTTAATGGATATATGATCTGTTTGCATAGAATTTATAAGCACCAGCTGCTCAGCATACACTGTGGGATGGGAATGATGAGGGTTTTTTCTTAAATTCTTTTCCTTTTAACAGGATTTTCACTTTAGAAGCTGAAGGTACTACTGAGCTTGAACAACTACAGTCAGAGCTTGAAGAGAAAGGATGGAAGAAGGCGTGGATGGTCACATACATTCATACAACACGTACCACGCAAATTCCAAGAAAAGTCTGTGGGAAGGAATACAATTAATTCAATGCAAGAGTTTAAAAACTATACCCAGAAGACGAACTGTCAAAAAAAAAAAAAAAAAAAACCAAACAGAACAGAAAAGCAAAAAAAGGTGTTAGAAAGCCAGATGCAACAAGCACCTGAGAGCTCACCATCACCTGAAATTCAAGAGAGACATCTGACAAACCCTCAGAGGCCACTCCAGGTGAGAAAGCCCCTTCTGTATTATGTATGAGGTGTTTTGATGGCCTCATAGGTACACATGATGAAGCAGACATTTCAAGATCATTACGCTCCCAGTATCACACATGTCCTCTCTCAGGGAGGAGATGAGCAGGCTTTAAGGCCAAAGAGCATACTCTTAACCACGAGAAGGCAGCAGCAGGCAGGACAGAACTCTGACAGAGTGAAATCCAAGGGCTTTTCTTCAAACAAATCTGCCAAGTATAGAGGTTAAAGTCATTCCAAAGCCCAAATAGATCCTGCTACTGAAAACTTGCTGACACTGGCCAGATCGGTGAGCCAGGATCCTACTCATTCCATCATGATTCTCCATTCTCATGAATGGTTTGCACGTATGACTCCATGGGCTGGCAGCACAGTGTCAGTTTCCATTGTGTGATACAAACCTCACCCATATGTATCAAGAGAGGTTTGACTCATTATTGCCAAACCACTCATCAGCCTCCTGGAAGCTAATGGAAATGGACTCCAGCATTATCTTAAGATTATCAGCAGGCACAACCCTCAATTTTGCCAGATTCTCATGTCTTAAACCATAAACTTCCTGTTATTTGACACTTAAATATTCTTGTTTCTACCATTAACAAAATCAAAGAAAATCTCAGGTTTCATAATGAAAACAAAAGCTTCAACTCTTTAGTGTCTTCAAAGAAAATATTAATGATATAAAATTATTGTTTAAAAAAAAAACCAAAACAACAACAACATAAAAAAACCCCAACAAAAACTCCAACAACAAAACCAAAAAAAACCCCAAACAACGCCACCACCAAACACAAAAAAGGCAAGTAAAATAAATCCTGCAGTTTTAGATCAAACACACTACTACTCAGTTGTCCATCTCCCAGTCTTTAGGACTAGTCCTAGTCCTAGTCTTTGCATCATTGGACTGTGTGCTCCTTTTCACTGTTTTCCCACATTTCCCAAAGAAATACACAAATGCACTTGGAAGCCAGTGTATTAGCATAGTAGGATAATAATCCATAGCAGCTCTCATATCAAAATGCTTTAGTATGAAAAAAACCCCACCAAGCTTAAAGCTCTGAAATGCATGGAACCCTACAAGTTCACTGATTGTTAAAAGACTGAAGACTAAACCTTAAAAAAACAGCGCAAAAATATTTGTAATTGAAGTGTTTGATGTCGTATTTTATTTCCCACCTCCTCCTCCTCCTCACATTGTCCCCTCTTTATCATCACTAAAAAACTTAATAGTGCGATTGCCTACATTTTCTGCTCCTACATGCCACAGACCTTTGCAAATGAAAGGTTATTTAGACTCATTTACTGATGGCACTTTACCAGAGACTGTCAGCAGATGCTATTTTTTCCCATGAATTAAAAAAACATGAGCATCTGCATACAAGCAACCGTGCAGAGGCCCCTGACCCAGCTTAAACAGGCCAGAAATCAACCATCAGTGGCAGTGGCAGCCAAACTTTGATGAAAACAGGGCAGACTGAAACACACTGAACTAGATTTCAAATCCTATAGAAGAAACAGTTGTCTCTGAAAAGAGGCAACTGGATAATGTGGAGCAGCCTCCCAGCTGAAACGTCTATCTTGGAATGGCACTGGCTCTCATCCCAATCTGCATGTGAAACCCAGTATTTACAAATAACAGCAAGGATTCTCAAGAACAGTTTAACAACCAAAGAAAAATCCCAA